CAAAAAAAAAAAAAAAAAAAAAAAAAAAAAAAAAAAAAAAAACACTCTAAAATAAAAATAAATCTTTATTAAGTGACTATTAATGGACCTCTTACAGGCTTTTTTTGTGGGGGAGGGTTTGCTTTTTTCCCCCAACTTAATGATAACCTGCTATTTAGTTGATCTCTTTTTCTTGGTGGCCATCTAGGTTGTTTTAGGGTTTGTTTGATTTTTGCTTTTGTTTTTGTTTTCTTTCAAACACCTCTACAGTACAGTCCTCTCACTAGCCTTGTGAGTCTCTAAGAGAGACTCTTATAGACCAGGCTGGCCTCAAACTCACAGAGATCGGCCTGCCTCTGGCTCTGCTGGCATTAGAGGCATGCGCCACCACACCCAGGGTAAGAGAGTCCCTTAAGTGGAATTCACATCTTGGGGAGCAAGTGCATTATTATCCATTATTATTAATAAGCAACTCATTATCCACAAACACCTTGTATTTCCACCCCCTCCATATCGTCCCCGATTCCTTTGGCAAATCTTTTGGTTTTCACCATTCTTCGGGGTTTATAATGAAATCTCACTTTTTTTTTTCCATTTAACTTCCCTGGTCACAGTAAGATCACACTTTTGTGTACTTAAAAGTCTTCTAGACTGGTGTTATAACTGTCCACATCTTCCGCCTGATTTTCTTTGTTGTATTTTTTTTCTTGTTAATCTTTAGTGTCTCTTAACATGTTTCATTCATTTTGTTGTTGTTGTTGTTTTGGAGTTTTGTTGGTTTTTTTTGGTTTTGGCACATTAAAGGTCTTATTTCCCTTATGAATTTTAGCTGTAAGCTTTTTTTGTTTGTTTGTTTCTAACTATGGTTAGTAAACAAAAGTGCAAATTATTTTTGAATAATTATCTAATAGCCTCACTGCATTCACCAATTCATTTTATGGCACTCTTCACAACAACAACTCTAGAAATTTTTTACACTTCTTTACAAAAAAAAAAAAAAATCCATCAGCAAAGGCTTACTCGTGGTTTAATAAGATGATGGCATTTTCTAGGTAATGGGACATGCTTGTTTTGAAACCTGGGACTAGCCAAACCTCCGTCAAATCCAAACAGATAGGTCAGCAACGCCCCCTCCTGGAGGACTGCCAGCAGAACGGAGCTCTCCGGAGATCAAAGAGCCAGGCTTCCCGGCCCGGCTTGAGGTCAGCCTCGCTGCTACAAAACAAAATGATACCCATGCAGAGGACTCGGCCACCTGGATTAAACCAAATGACCTGATTAGAAGACGGCCTTTCTCCATTGGCCAAATCCACTGTACACTTCCCCTCCCAAAGTCCCGGGAACATCAACAAACAGGCCTCAGGGAGGAAAACGCTCTACACAGAGAGAACTGAACCACAGCCCCGCCCAGCTCTCAAGCTGTATCCCAACTAGACTTCCATCTGAAGTGGCTTCCTGGACTCACAGCCTTGAAGAAGTTGGGCAGCAAGACTACAAAAATGTATTCGGTGAGCTGTGAACTCGGGCCATCCTAAGTGACGTAGGAGGATGAAGAGCAGATGCCCATATATTGGGCACTGGCCGCTCTCAGACCCCAGGCACCTCCACAGAAGGGTACTTAGGTGATTTTCCTAGAGACCTCCATTACTTCTCTCATTTCTCCAGGGCATATAGGGATCTGACGGCCCAATGTGTAACACCTGGCTTTATTTCTACCATCAAAGCTAAACAATGCCATACCATGAAAACTGAACATGCCCTGAAAGTCAGACAGATTCAAGTTCAAATCTCCATGTGAACTCAAGCATGACTTAGCCAACTCATCCAAGCTGTTGGTTTCTTCCTCTGTCTAAAGGAGAAGGAAAAATAACTTCCTTGTGAGACTGCGGAAAGGATTGGGTTAAGTTTAAATTAAAGGATATCACACCAGAGCGGCTGCTTGAAAACATGTTTGGGGTCCTTGGGAGGACGTGTGGTGTTTGGAGTCCTTGAAAGATTGCACAAGGAAATCAATGATTCCGTTCTCCAGTTTAATCAGGTGTTGGACACTTGCCAGTCTTGCTTTTTTTCCCCCAGTGAACCAAGAAATGAGCTCCCCTGGAAGGAGAAACAGCCCCTAAGCACTATATGTGTTCAGGATAGAATTTATTTAGAAACATTAACTCATTTTATGTTTAGGACAGCCCTGTGAGCTGGATAAAACAGGTACAGAGCTGTGCTCCAGGTGAAGAAAAAGAAGTTCCAAGAAGCCCCTTGACTTCCTAAAGTCACATGTTGGGTACAAAAGAGCATTGGCAGGAAGCTGTGTGTGTCCTTCCCAGGATCCTGAGTGACTTGGG